CTGCACGTCTGCTGATCCCATCCCTCAGATCTGGAGTCTGCCTGGTCCCTCTGCCTGGTCCCTCTGCCTAGTACACCATCTACCACCCCCCTGCCTTCTTATTTCCTCCTAGCATGTGCTCAGCCCCAGCCTTGCAGTCTGTCCCCAGCCCTCCCAGTTCTACTTAATCCACCTACTTGCCTTTCCCCTAGATGTCTGGCCATGCTGACCTATACTGATTGCCCCTCCTCGTGCTACCTGTGCCTTCTGGGTCTCCAGAACACTGGTCCTGGCATTTCCCTGACTTCCTGTGGAATCACGGGTAAAGGGAGCTTCTGGTGCCGAGCAACCTGGCAAGGTCAGGGTCGGGGGCTGTGGTCAGATTGACCTCCTCAGAGCTTCTCACTGACCCAGCAGGAGTGAGATTATTGATGCACTGTGCCTGTGCACGTAGCCTCATAGGACCTCAGAACCAAACAATCAGAATAGCGCTCTCCTTTCTGTGGAGATAAAACCATGCTTGTCCCTCTAGTGACAGGGAGTCTACTCCTTCAGGCTCAGCAGACCTGGGAATTGTGGCCTGAGGTCATCGCCGGTCCCTGACTAGGTAGACCTCCTGGTCCATCCCAAAATCCCCAAGATGAAAGATGCCTACAGACCCTGATATCACAATGCTTCCCAGTAGAATGGGACCTTAATACGGGGGAGTGCCACTCCCTGTCCTGTTCCCATATGTCCCAGTGACTCAGCTGTCCCTGTGGCTGCCATCCCTCCATAGTATTTGTCACTGAGGGGGAATGGATGTCTCTTGTCTGGGAACTGGGGATGGGACATAAAAGTGGGTCACCCTTCCACATGCCAGGCCACTGGTAGACTGGCAGGTGCTACCCCATCCTTCAAGCTCAGTTGACAAGCGCCCACAGCCTTTGGCAGTGGCCTTGTTAGTGTAAGGTAGCCACTAGGACCAGCCTTGGCAGGCTGCTTAGTGCTGCACTGGGGCCAGATAGTCCTGGGGATTAATGAGATACCCAGGGCAAACAAAGACCCCCTTGGGCAGGGAAACAGGTCCAAGGAACAACATGAAGGTTACTTGTAGAATTTTTTTGAGGTCTGTGGACTCTAAAACCTTCAGAAGATCCTAGCCCCGGCTCCTCACCCTCCAATTCTGGTCTTTGACACAGACACCATTCTCTCTCACAATGTCAGCCCACGGGCAGCCTGAGGTTACAGGACAGTGGGAAGCAGGCTCTTTTCCCAGAGGGCCATCCAATGGCAAGCTGACAAGGGATGGGGCAAGCCTTTCTGGCCAATCCTAGCCTTTGGGGCTCAAAAAGCTAGATTCCCTTCTATACTTATAGAACTTTCTGGAACTTCACCAACTCAGAGTAGCTCTCCAACTCTCCAAACTCCACTCCCCCACCCCACCGACTCTCAAATCACCTCAGCTCCTTATGTTGCCCTCTTTCCTCCCCCATCCTCCCTGTTCCACCCTTACTTCCGGTGTCAGTCTCAGGAGTCCATGGCAGAGTTTCCACAGCCCATGTTCCCCAGTCTGCCCTGCTGCTATGGGAGGTTCCCCACTCTCGGGAACCACAGGAACACCCTGCCTCCTTCTCCCCAGCCTGAGACTCTCTGAGGGAAGACATCCATCTCAGACACAGCTCTGAGCCCTCACAGTGGTCACCCAAGCTCCAGGCACCATGCTGATGAAGAAATGAGACAGCATGGATGCTGTGTCCCATGCCCCACAGAAAAAGCTGGAGCTCCGGATCCAGAAGCCAGGGAAGGGTCGTGGGTAAGGCTCCTAGCCCGCTTTGCCGTAGTGGGGTGGTACAGGCAGAGTATCCAACTATATGTAGCTTCTGCACGGAGCTGGGGACTGGGCCTCAAACAGCTCATGCCAAGGGCTTCCAAGGGCGCAGCTGTGGCCCTTTATAGGGCTCATCCAAAAAGACCAGGGTCCTTAGGTCACCCTCGGGCTGCTCACCCAGGAGGGACCGGCAGCCAGCCCCTGGAGATGAGCCAGTCTTGCTGCCCTGCTGCCGAACCACTGCCTGTAGGTGGAGCGAGAGAACTCTCCGTCCCCTACCTGTAGCCTCCTTGAAAGGCCACGCAGGGCTTCAGCAGGGCTCACAAGAGAGGACACCAGGCAGCCTCCATAACATGGGCTCCTTGTGTCTGGAGGTGGGGTAGGACTGTCTCCAGCTTAGCCCTTCATCAGTGCCATCTTCAGACAACCTGACTCCAGACTGTCCCTGGTCATTGCTGAAGCATCAAGCTTAGTGCTCCCTGAGACCCAGGACTTGAGTTCCATCCTGGGATCCACAGCTGAGTGGCCCTCAGTCATGGATGGGGTCCTTCGAGATCAAGGATCTGATGGACAAATAGGTCCAGCTTCAGTTGTGGTCCAAGGAGAGCGATAGAGGTGTTAGTTTGGAGGTCCCCACTGGTGTCAGCTCTATGTTCTATGGTAGTGACTCAGCGACCCGAGACAGGGTCTGTCACTCTGCTCAGGGAGGGACTCCTGATCTTCTGGCAGGACATCCCGAGACCCATTTCCATTCGCCTCTCTCATGCCCTTACCCTCTGCTCCCATGCCACCCCAGGCCCTAGCCCACAGCTCCACCCATCCACCTCCTCTTCCTCCCTTCATTAGATGGTGGTCCATAGCTACTCCCTCTTGACCTCTCTCCAGTTCACTGAGAGATCTAGCCCAGATCTTGCCTGCTGCTTCTTAACCTGGTCTTTCCTGCTTTGTTCTTAGGGATGACATTCCTGGTATTCCTCCTCTGAGACCTGCCTCATCCATTCCTTTCCCGTTGTGTGGTCTTCGATGAAGTCCTTGAGCCGGCATACCCCCCAGGTAGGAGAATATGAATTGGGGAGAAAGAAGACCCCAGAAGAACTGGGTTTAAATCTTGGCTCTGGCTCTCATCTAGATGTTTCCCACTAATGCCTGGATCTTGGCTAATCCATTTGTGAATGAGAACTTGCACAGGAAGGAGGGTTGTGAAGTCGTGGGTAGCAGCAGACCACCAAGAAAGGCCTGGCTTAGGGATGTGCTCGATATGCAATGGGCTTCTTAGCTTATGAGGAATCAGCCTGTGCTGGGGGGCATGGTACCCCCTTACCCACCTATGGGATAAGAGTGAAGACAAGGTGGCAAGCTTGCTCGGGTGACCCGAGGAGGGTGGGGGTGTGAGACAGAGATAGCATGAGATAGCAGGAGAATGCCCCCGTGGAATGTGATAGGGAGAAGGAAGCATGCAGGTGGTTCTGAGCCGGCACCATCATGCACATGGTCAGGGCATCCACAGAAGTAGAGGGAGCCAACCTAGGGAGCATTTGTTTTCTGATATCCAAGTAGGGAAGATCTGTTAGCTGCCTCCTCCTCTCCACAGGCCACCTCCACTAGCTGTGAGTACCTATTCCTGGGCTCCCTCCTGTCCTGGAACTGTGAGTACCACCTGAGTGGGGGATGGGGCACATGGCTGGAGCATTACGAGGTCAGAACTCAGCCTGGTTAGGGCAAGATTACAGGCATGAGGGAGCAGGGGTGATGGGGGCAGTGGGCTGGCTTTTGCTACGACTCCAGGCTTCCCAATGCCAGTGTCCCCACATCCTTTTTGGAGTCCATGTGACTCTTGTTGCCTGGGAGCCTGTGTTCTTGGAGCACAGAAGGCAGGCCATTCTAGGAAGGGACGTGCTAGGCATGCTAGAAGAAAGGGCGCCGGGGCGGGCAGTACCCAGCAAGGTACAATGTTGACTGGAACTGAGGGGAAGGGGGCGTCACTTGAAAGGATGACAAAAAAATAAAACTACCGGGGACACCTGGGATGGCCCAGGTGAATGCCCTCTCAGCGCCTCAAGGTAGAGCCTGGGGCCAGACCGGGCAGTGCGGACTCCACGCCTCAGGCAGGGCCCCCAAGGATGCGTGCCCTGGCCCTGGGAGGCCGGGTTGGGATTGAATCGCGGCCAAGAAGTAAGTACAGTCTGGGCACCCGGGCCAGGGCATTCTCAGGGCTCCTTCCTCATTCCTGGCCCTGTGGGAGTAGCCGGACCCTGTGCTCCATTGCAGCCACGCCACCGGGGATTTGATGACTGCCTCATGGGGACCCAGGGCTTCCTGCCAGCCTGCCCAGCCCTGGCCTGGGCCCCAGGCATGCTTCAGCCTACAGATCATCAAGCCCCAGTCGTGGGCTACCTCCTGATCTCTGATGGAGAGACTGAGGCTGTGCCTCAGGATGGAACAAGGGTCAGACGCAGGGTCCTGCATATTCCCTTTTGAAATGCAGAGCTGGAGGCTCCCCCAGAAGACTTGGATCTAACACATGCTCTGTGGGTGCCTCACAGGGCCTATGGCTGGCTGTGGGATCAGCAGTTCCACCTGATGCCAGGCTTCCCAGGACAGCGGGCAGTAGCCAAACCGGCCCCGCCACATGCCTTCTGACCCTGGGCAGAAATGCCATTCACCGTAGGCAGTGCATGGTCACCACAGGCTGTGGCCAGGCAATCAGTTAGGGCTGCAAGCCCCTAGGGACTCTGGGCTCAGGCCCTAGGAAAACACAAGGCCCCCAGAAGTTCGCCACAAAGATCTGGGGTGACCCCAGATACTCAGGCCTTGGACTCTGAAGTTAAGGGGAATGAAGTAGAGAAAGGGCCTTCTACCCACCCTTCCAGTTGAGCGCATATTGGGCCCAGATCTTTGGTTAATTCCTGGACATCGGGCCATTAGGCTTTGTGTCCTTGTAGCCTGAAACCTTTCAGAGAAGCTTCTAGGCCTGTGTAGAAGCATACATCTAAAGATTCTCACTGGCTGCCAGAGGCAGGCCAGCCTGACGGTCCCATCAGAGCCTGGCCAAGGACCTCAAGTACAGAATGGAAGGAAGCAGACCTCTTGTCAGCAGAGGAGGTGAAGGAAATGGGAAAGACTAAGTGTGTGTCCCCACCCTCAGGGCAGGAACTGCGGGGGCATCCCATGTATACTCCACACACAGACACAGACTTTTCTGATTCCAGCTTTTATTGGGGCCAAGTGCTCCCCTCCAGAGGAGGCAGCAACACAGCCCATCAGAAGTAGGGCACTTCAAGGACATGTGGTGCCCGGCCACCTCCACCCCAGCACACAGCATTGGGACAGCCAGTGCCCTGCCTGGGTCCACTAACCACCTCTCTCCCCTAGGCAAGGTCTGCGGCTGACCGAGTGCAGGCGCAGGTGCCTGGCAGCCCAGGGACAGTGCGAATTGCCTCGGTGGCACCAGGGGCCCCGAGGGTCTGTTTCAAGCAGAAGGAGGAGCCTGGCTTGGGGGACAGCAGCCAAAGCCATCCCCCATCCCCTCCAGTACCCAGTGTAGGTCACAATAACTTAAGAGACATGACAGACAGGGGACGCTATATAACAATATAAGTTAACCAGGCTCCTCACAGGGGACACTGGGCTATGGACTAGGGCATCCCAGGACTTAGGATGAGGAGATGGGGCCAGGATCAGGGTGGGGCATCTCCAGCGGCCCAGAGGCTTGGAACATCCTGACATGACAGGACCCACAGCTGGATGCAAGGCAAGGGCAAACAAGGGTCACCTTCTCCAGGTTAATGTCCAGGCCACCTGGCTTGGTGGCCCCCAAACCCCACATTCCCGTGGATTTCTGCTTTGAAAACACCTTAGTGTAGGGAAGGCTGTGGGCAGTTGTGCCATCAGCCCTGGGCAATCCCTTACCTCTGCCATGTGCTGTGGAGGAGAGGGAGGGAGATGCCCAGCTCTGAGCTCTTATGTCCCCATCTGGAAGATCCTGAGGAAAGAGGACATTAAGCCTCCCACAGACCCCTGCTTGAAGGCCCCATGTCCTCATAATGTGAGGACCCTCAAGCAGGTATCTGTGGACAGTACGCAGGGGGCCTAGCAGATACATCCCTAAATTCTGGATGCCGATTCTCTGGCATCGGAGTCAGAATGGAAGAGGGTTCAGCCTCCCAGCACCTTGGCTGCTTCCAGGATTTGGGCTGGATGGGGCTGTTGGGGGTATAATTCACAGAGCCATGGGGTCTCCAGAGAAGATTCAGATTGCTCTGTGTCCATCTGTCACGTGGGGCGACCGTCCCTGGCCTCTTCTGAACCTGTGGGGCAGTCTTGGGGATCAGGCTGGCTCCAGGGTAGAGGGGGATTTGTAATGTAAACTGGAGGTGGAGATTGGCAGCAGACCGGGGGGGGGGCGGTGTGAGGGGCTAGAAAAAGGAAGAGGCATGCCTGGAACCTGACACAAGCCACATTTGATTTGCATGACAGTTTCCGAATGGAATGGAGGATGGACTGTCCTCTGAGGCCATCTCAGGCCTTGTAGACCCGCTAAACCCCTCCCAGAGTGCTGCCAAGGAGTTCCCCTACCAGCCAGCCTCCGTGCCAACCCTGACACCCTGGGTCCTGCAAGGAGCAGAGGACCCTCGAGGGAGGGGTTGAGGGGAAGAGAGTGAAGAGAGATGGTGGTGGGGCAACCTCCGATAGGGTTAGGTCTGGCTACCCGGTCGTTAGTACTGAGTTCTCAACTGATGCTAAGAAAACATAAATAATTTTGTCAACATCCATCCACACTGCCGGGGGCCAGCAGGACACAGCTCAGGAAACAGTTTTGAGTGTGACTGGTGGGTGTGGCCTTTCTCTGTCCAGCCACCAGGCAGGGAGGTGATCCTCAGAGTCTTGTGGTCACTCACTTTGAGGTCCAGTTTCCCGAAGAGAAGTAAAGGAATTTGTCTCCATTGGGTACCAGACCGATGCGTTGGCCTTGGATGCCGGGTAGGTCAGGGCACTGCTGTGCCTCTGGAGGGGACAAAGCAGGTAGGAAGGAGCCTGGAGTACCCCAGTACCCTACCCCCAATTCTACCCTCCTGTGCCCATAGCTGGCAGCTCCGGAAGCAAAGAAGGATGTGCAAAATGGCGAGGGCCGCGGGATGGGCAGGCGCCTTGTGCGCCTGCACCGCGGCCTCACTTGCAGGTGAAGACCTCGGTGCGCTCGCTGCACGTGTTGCACTTGACAAAGCAACACCAGTGGAATTTGCAGTTGCACTGCCACACCTTGGTATACTGGTGTGTGTTGTAGCCTCGGCCGCAGCACATGGTGTCACAGCCGTCGGCGCCGGGAGAGGTGCGGTTACACAGGCGGCCCTGCGTGCCCACGCTGCCTGTGGCCGCGTCCTCCTCACAGTAGTTGGGCGACTTCTCGATGTACACCAGGTCCGTCTCCATAGGCTTCTGGTAGCTGCGCAGTTGCTTGATGCGCAAGAAGGTGGGCTGGCGCAGGCGGCTGGCGCGCACCACCTCCACCTGAACGGCCGCGTTGTATTTCTCCTTGAGCAGGTGGCCCACCTCGCGGAACTTGGGCAGCGTGGTCCAGCAGGTTTTGGTGGTGCACGAGCCCGACACACCGTGACACTTACATTCAAGCTTCATGCGGTCCTCCAGAACCTACAAGCGACAGAGTAGAGGCTCAGAAGGAAGTGGAAGAGGCTGAGTGCCCTCCCGAATCCCAGGTGTCTCCTCTATGAGCTCGTTCGCTTAAGCTGCTAAAAATGGGTTCCCGTGTGCTCTCAGTAGAGAGTGGTGTATCTGATCAGAGTTATTTGGCTAAATCCAGCCCTAATGAGGAAATGGGACAGGGGCCACTTGCAGGGCAGCAGGTAGGGACACTGTGCTGGGAGAGGCCCAGTGAGAGCAGTGATTAATAAACACAGGCCCTTCGTGTCTCCATCTCCCTGTGACTGCCTCATGCCCGGTGCAGGGCCTGGCACGCAGTCAGAGCTTAACAGCCAGCTGCTTAATGACAGCCTGGCGTGCCAGTGATGGAGGAAACCAGGAGGGCGAGGGCACGGGTCAGCGAGGCCCAGTCGTGCCATCCTCTGGGAAGCCGACAGCCAGGCCTAGCCGGTTGTTGTTCTTTCTCCCAGATGCATGAGGGCCCGGGATGGGTGCAACCCTGTGTTTTCCTTGGGCCTCCCTCTCGCCCAGGAAGGCCGGTTCCCAGAGCCAGCCCTGACCCCAGGTACTCATTTACCCAGATCGAAAGGGCCCTGCCAGCCGGCCTGATGAAAGATGGGGAATGACTGTTAGCTGCAACCCTGTGGCTGCGGAGGGGCCATTTGTCAGCTGTCCCTGCTTCACTGCCTTACCGCCACCGTCTGGGCCTGCTGGCGTTTGGCCCCTCATCTTTCCCCCACCCTCGTAGAACTCATTGTCAAGGGCACCTGTTCTTAGCCCCAGCTCTGCCCTAGACAAGAAGTCTAGTCAGTGAGTGTGTGAATGAATAAAGGGATGGACAGATGAAAACAATGCGTGGCAGGAAGAGTCCCACAGACACTGCCTCCACCTCAGCACCTTCCCTGGACCTCACAGATGACCTCTGAGACGCATGGTCCAGCATAATAAACAGGAGGACACAAACTCATGACTCCCAGGGCCTGAGGGAGCTCACGACTTTGAAAGGCTCACATCTTGATCCATAACCATGAGACAGAACACTGGGAATGCTAAGAGTCTTAGGAAACTTCAAAACCTGCTCCCAGAGACACATCTCCAGTAAGACCACACCTCCCAATCCTTCCCGAACAGTTCCACCAACCGGGGATCAGTTATTCAAACATATGAACCTATGGGGGCCATCCTCATTCAGACCGTATCTGTGGGAAGCAAGCCAGTGTGTGCAGCTACCTTGTCATGTTAGCTGTGGAGGCTTCCTGGAGAAGATGGTGCGGGCAGATGGGTAGGAGCTCATTAGATAGGCAGGGAGTTGGAAGGAGCTCTATGAGGACCCACCCAAAGACACAAGAGTGCCGCTGAGAATTCGGGGGAAGATGAAGCTCCTATGCCTCTCGTTGTTGGATGGACCCTGGGCTGGCATCACCATGACTCCAGCTAAGTGAATGACGGCTTGCAGTGAGGACCAGAGAAGCTGGTAAGGAGGAAGTGGGAGACTGAGGTAGGGCTGCCTCAGGTTTCATGTGGGGTATGGGGAACAGTGTGGGCTCCAGACTGAGTAGAATGGGTAGGCCGGAAAGGCTTGAGAATCAGGCTAGAGTGGCCCGCCTCATGAACCCTTGGGATCTGTTACTTACATGCCCCATCCCGTGTCCATCCCTGGTGACTCTCGGCCCCTGGTTTAGCTTTGTTTGGCTCTGTTCTCTTCTACTAGTTTTTTTCAAACCCAGTAAAGTCCCCTGCTCTGGCCACCTACCCACCAAGTAGTTAGAGTGGTCCTCCCAAGTCCCTGGCAGGAGCAACAGGTCCCTCAGGGCCTGGCTGACAACTCTTCTCCAATAGCTGAGATCAGTGGGGGTTCTGGTTGGGGTTGTGCAGGCCACTGGTCAGCTACCAGTATCACCGCAGCCTACTAGATACCCTTGCACTGTCTGTAGCTCCTGAGCCTCATCTGGGATCTCTTCTACCCCTGCCTGCCTGAGGACATCAGGTCCTGCACAGCCCTGCTGGTGACAAGGGCAGATGAAGTTGATTGGGCAGGTGTTTGCAGAGTGAGGGGCCGAATCCTCGCTTGGCTGGGTCCCCTGAGCTGGAGCCTCGCCGGGAGGTGATCACAGGATTCAAGAATGCGCCGTTTCCTTCTCCAGAGCCCTCGCCATCAGAGCGACAGCAGCCGTGGCGCCAGGGACAGCCAGGAGCTTGGGGCACTGAGGCCAGCCCAGGCGCTCAGGAGACACCTGGAGGTTGCAGAAGGGGTCCCCTTCCTGAGGTTGACTGCTCTGCAGCCTGGTTCCCTCCAATACACAGGAGTGCGGTGCCAACAGGACGCAAGAGAAAGGCTTACATGGAGGATCAAGGGCCTTGGAGTAGCACTCCATTTGACCAGGCTAGGGGAGTCACCAGGCTGGGGCAGAAGTCCTGTAAGAGGAGGTTGGATAGCCCAGGGGAGTCAGGCATCCCTCTGTCTCAGCAGGGCAGGCCTGGGTGGGCAAGGTCCCTCACATTCATTCAGCCAGGGAACAGCTGAGGTCTCGGAGACAAGATGTCAGTGGAGTTCTTAAAACCCTTCCTTTCCTGAGCTTGTGGGTGGCTTGGCCTCTCCGGGGGTCTGGGAACTGTAGGGACATGGCCTTTGCCTGCTGTTCTTTCTGACTCCGGGTCCAGGAATGGCTGTGGGTCTTGCTGGCCTCTGAGCAGCAGCTACACTCTGGGGCTATGGTGTGGGTTTCCCTCCCAGATCTATACAACAGGAACCAGAACCCTGTCATAAACCTTCAGTCAGGACCTGGCCTGTGGCCAGCTGGTAGGGTGTTATCCCCAAGCTCTCGGAAGGACCCCAGTTCTGTCCTGAACCTAGCACCTGACCACAGGGACAGCCCTGGCCATCACCATGTCTGAATAGGGGTAAGAAACCATTGACGCCACCTTCTCTGCCTACTGCCCGAGTTCCACACTATAGTGGGGACCCAAAAGGGACAAAACTGTTGACCTGGCTCCCCCACATCTGAGTATTCTTTGGGAACAGTCTCCTTCTGCCCAGACACCAGGGGGCACCTCTCTCTAGTGACCAGCACAGCCCGTGAGGTGTCTGGGGATGAGCAGCAGGGCTGGGTTGGTAGCCATTGTGGGTTACCACCATGAGCTCAGCCCATCTCACCCCAACCCATCCAGGATCCCTGCCTGAGTTCCTGCAGCCTGAGGAGAATGGGGAGTGAGATAGTTGAAGGTCGCTGTCCATACTTTGTATCACAGAAAATCTCAGAAGTGACCTCACCGGGATGAGATGAAGGTAAAATGGAGTCGTGTCTGTCTGGAATAGGGTGGTATACAAAGTCTTAGTCTTAGTGGTGTCCTCATTTGAGACGGAAGAGACAACATCCCAGTAGAGGCCACACAGTCACCAGCAGAGGCCAGACCAAAACAGACAAAAGCCAACAAGTGCTGGGGCCTCTAGAAATAGGTCAAGGCAAGCAGGACCACCCTCCCCATACCCTACCTCCCAGAGCCTTTGGAGAGAGCATGGCCCTCGTCATACCTGGATGCCAGATTTCAAGGCTAGAACAGTGGGAAAGCATCTGTCTGTCTTGTTTATACTGTGAGTCTGATGCCCTAGGACCCCGCCCTGGAGTCCGTGACCTCAGGCTCTCAACTCCACGCTCCCCACAGCCATTGCTAGCATCAAGCTGATTGGAAGAAAAGGCTCATGTGTAGCCACCAGCTGGCTTTTAGGGGTTCAGGCCAATGTGTGCTCACAGCTTTAGGGGGTGAGGCTACTAGAGGTGCAGCAGAGGAATCTGGCAAAGTATCATCCATTGTGCCAAAGGGGAGACTAAAGTTCAGAAGAGGGATAGGGCCAATCCCCACACAACCAAGTGCAGAGCCGGTATAAGGACTGTGACCTTTAATCAGTATTTCTTTTAGGGAATGGGGGGCGGAAATCAGTGTCTTACTATGTAGCCCTAGCTGGCCTGGAACTTACTATGTAGACCAGGATGGCTTCAAACTCAGAGATCTGCCTGCTTCTGCCTCTTGAATGCTGGGATTAATAGCATACAACACCACATCCTGTTCTTCTCTCTCTCTCTCTCTCTCTCTCTCTCTCTCTCTCTCTCTCTCTGTCTGTCTATCTATCTATCTATCTATCTATCTATCTATCTATCTATCTATCTATCTATCTATCTCAGGCTAGCCTAAAACTCACAATCCATCTCAGCTTCAATGAATGTGCTACCATGCCTGGGTACCACTTACCCTTAACAGCCTTTTCCCATGGCCTCCCTGTTCCTAACCAGCCTCCACCTAGCCTGCTCTCCAGTAGCCCATTCTCCATCTTGGTTCGTGATACTGTTTTCCCCCAAACCCTTTATATGGTGCGTGGCCTGTTCCTATGCCCTCATCCCCTCAGCCAACAGCTGCCAGGACTCACCCCTTGCCCTTCATTTTGGTCCCCAGTCCCACTGCCAGCCTCCCTCTTCCCATCTCTCCAGGGACCACTCTGCCTTAACACCTGCGCCTCTCTACCAGAACAATCCCAGACCTAAACTGGAGATAACGCTAGCTGGTCCTCAGATGGCCCTTTGCCTGAAACCCTTGCCCCCATGACCAGGACCAGAACTCAGACCTGAGGGGCCACCTGACCAGCTCCACAGCAGCTCGCCCTGGGGGCTCACTGCCCTTATCTGCAAATGAGGGATGGTGAAATCTTCCTTCCAAGAGAAAGAAAAAAAAATCTGCTCAGAAACATGCCACTGAAATGAGTCGAGGAGCTCCTATGAGGGTCCAGCCTTGCCTACCCTCCATGTTAGAGCCCCCCCCCCCCGTCAGCCTCCCTGCCAGGGCGGTTTTAATCACATGCTAGGAACCAAACTTTGTCTGTAGCTAGTGGCTCTCTGTGCATGCACTGCCTCCAGAGGGTCACGCTTTCCTCATCCCTTTGTTACCATAATCTAACAGCCCCCTCTGGGGGACACCACACATCAAAGCCAACCCTGGTCCTGTTCTACGCCAGCTCCTGCTTCCTGGGGTCTGACTCATCCACCCATCTGGCTCTGCTTGCAGCCATCCTCCAGGATCTTGCCTTTCCCCTGAATATCCTTCAAGACCCCACTCCCATGCCACCCCCTTCAAAGAGCTCCTGGGCCTTCCCAGGGACACCTGGGTCCTTTATACCCTCAGGTGATCCCAGACTCCCGAGCCAGATGAATTCCTCTCTACGGCCCAGCACAGAAAAAGGACAGAGTGTTACCTGAATAAATGAATGAGATAGTGGGCTTGGCCGCTCCCTGAGGAGACTCATTCCCTCTTCTTTGCCTGGGAAGGCCAGTTCAGCCCAGACCCAAGGAGCCCCTAGGCCCTGCAGGCATGGGTGCAGCCCCTAGAGTTGAGGAACCAGATTCAGCCCGTGCTCTGCTCAAGCACGGCTGGCTGCCCTATCTCGGGCCATCTTGCCGCCGTGGCAGCCGCTCCTCCTAGCGCATTATCTACGGCCCTCATCTCCCTGTGGCAGCCGGGCTCCTTCTGACTTCTTCCCTAGTGTGTCCTGACCTGATTGTCCTCCATTTTCACCCATATGCAAACCTGACTGTTCCACGAGGTCACAGCTGACTGGACCCGCCCATCTTGAAACAGTAATCTCTCTTCTTCCTCTGTCCTCAGCTGTCTGTTTTTCGTTTGTTTGTGTTTTGTGTGGTTTTGGGGGGGCTTTGTTTGTTTGTTTGGTCAGCTGGCTGAGTAGCTTCTAGATCCACGAAGTGGGCTGTTATGATCTGGATCATAATATGATGTGATCTGGCTGCTATGATATGGCCTTGGCCCATCTGCAGGTCCCTAGCCAGGCCCAGTTCATGCTTTACATAGAAATGGGTCCCACATGTCCAAACCCCAGATGTCATGCCTGTAGGCCAGGCAGGAAGATTGCTGCAGAGAGGTACGGAAGTGACACTAAGAGGATCGGTGCATGCGCTTTCGTAGGCAGGTCTTATGCCCCTTGTACCCACTGTGCCCCCCATGCCCGCATGCTACCTTTCTGCCTGCCTCATTGTTGTGGAGGTTCATGAGGCGCCTGGCATTCTTTTTAATCTCGCGAGCATCTACGAAGCGTCGGGAAAAGTCGATGCCGTAACGCACATCGGCTGAGCAGCCTCCCCACTTCCAGCCTTCTGCCTGGTTGTAGTAGCCTTGCTTCTCCCGGTCACAGCCGCAGTTGCTCAGGTTGCCCTGGCTGCAGGCAGCGGTGACAGCGTGGGCCACGCCTGCTGCGGTGATGGCGTAAGTGAAGGCGGCCTCGCGACTCCCTGTAAAGAGAGACAAAAGGTTTGGGCAGTGAGGCCTTAAAGTCCTGAGCCAGGTGGTCACAGGGGATGTAGTCCCTAGCCTGAGAACCTGCCCTCTAAGAACACGGAACTCACTACACTGGGGCTGATGAACCCCACCCTAAAACAGGGCAACAAGGACATCCGAATGGCATTTGTTTCTGCAGTGACCCACCAGCACACCCCGCTGTTATTTTCTGTCTTCCTGTTCCCAAGGGACAGGCCATTTGTGTTCTGGGTGAAAGATGATATTCTGGGCCATGACGGAGTAGAGTCTCCGTACTCCAGAGCTCAGAAGCCTCCCTCTCTGCTCATCTTCAGTCCGTTTCAGACCTCGGTCTCTCCCAGGGTCCCCTCTCCTTCCAGCCTCTGGGCAGCAGACACCACCCAGGTGTAGTCTAGGCAGAAAGCCCACCCACACACCCTAACACTGTCACCGGTCTCTGCTGCAGAGCCAAGCCCATGACCAACAGAGCTAAGAAGGGAAGCCATCTCCCACCCCAGCCCTGCTGACACCTGCTTGCCTCCCTGGGCCCTCTCCCCATCCCATCAGGGATGATGACTCAGGCCTTCCGGGTGTGTCTCACACCTCCCGCAGAGTTACTCTTCTTTGGGAATGAGAGTCCCTGCACCTCTTGAGGCCAGGCTCTAATGTCTCCTCCTCCAGGCAGCCTTCTTAGGATGAAATTCTCACTGCTGGCATGGGGACCGTTTCTACCAGCTTAGCCCTACAGGGAATGCCTGGTCCTTGTAGGTCCAAAGGCTCCTCAAGTGGGGCGAGACCTGCCCTGTTTTCTTTATCTACCTCAGCCCCAGGCTGGGCCATGCAAACCTTCCATCTTGTGCTCAGTCTTCTCAGGTCCCTCCCTCTTCACCAACTCTCTTTCCTTCAGGACTCAAGCTCATGGTGGTGGATGGGTGTCCAGCAGGCTTATGAAGAGCATCTCAGGAGCCTAGGGCAAGCTCCAGTAAGAAATGGTTCCCTACCATCTCATCTGCAGACAGCAGGGCCAGTGGTCAAATATGGGTAGGGTGGTGGAAAACCAAGACCCAGCCTTAGCGAGGCCCAGGGGCCAGCACCTGCCTGTCCTAGCCTGTCCTCGGTACCTCACTGCAGGCCCTGCTACTGGGGGCTGTGTCTGCTGTGTCCCACCAAGACAGAACAATGGCTCTGAGTCGTCAGGTCCATAAGCTACACCAAGGACCAACTCTATGCCTGGCCTAAGCCTACCTATCTCTTTACCCACCAACCAGCGGGGTGCACAGGAGAGCATCTTCCTTCTCAGGAGGAGCCCATTGGGGGACCCTCTTCCCTCAAGGTGAAGACAGGGTGGAGCCCAGTATCTCAAGCCTACAGCAGTCTCCCCTCCACCCTGATGCCCTGCTAGGCTGCCCTCACCCCCCACCGTCACCCCTTTTGCCAGAACAGTCCCAGGATCTGTGGGCTCTGGGCTCCGATTATGACAGGAGAAATGAGAGATAAGAGGTCACCCCTAAGCCCGATGGGCTCTGCACAGTCCCGTGTGGCTAGTGTCGTTCTCAGAGGCCCCAGGGCCCTGGTGGATGCTGGCCAGGAGCCCCAGACAGAGCAGAAACTGGAAAGGTACAGGAATCAATGTTTCTGGGTCTAACTTAGGTCACCAAGTCCCTAACGGAAGCCTGCAGATTCCCTTTGCCCTCTGATCAGGTCTGGCAACTTCGTCTGACCAACTGTTGAGGGATGATGGAGGTGGCCAGTTCAGGGTGGGTCCTGGAGAGCAAGGGAACTATATAGCCACTGACCCCAGGATGGGGGGGCTCTGTGGAGGCAAAGCTGACTTTCTAGTGTACCCATGTTGCAAGTATCCAATGTAGGGGTCTAGAAAATTCAAACCATTTTGCACTAGGGGCAAACAGCAGTGGGTGTCATCGTCCACCACCACCGCCACTGCCGCCGCTGCCGCCAATGCCGCCAATGCCGCCACCAATGCCACCACCGCCGCCACCACTGACACCGCCACCACTACCCAGGCCAAAGCAGCCACTGGAGGTGTTCAACCTCTTCCGGTCCATCCAGGAAGCCTATCTTGAAGCCCCAGGCAAGCAGGCAGGTGCCCTGGCTGGCAGGTGTGTTTCGGGGCGACCCAAGGCGTCCCGCATGGGTTCTGCTTCAGGCCTCAGCTCTCACCTGCTTATGCCCACACTTGCTCTGACTCAGTTACTCAGCAGTTACTCATCAGGCTGCCACTCCTGCTAGGGCCGTTTTTATTTGGTTTTAATGAGCCAAGCCCTCCGTCTGTTGCCATGGAGACAGGGAGGGGGGAACAAGAGGCCAGTGGTAGTTTGTAGAGAAGAACAACCCACGTGAGGTCAAGCAAGAGGGGCTGCCATGGGCTGAGGATCCCCGCAACTATCATGCTGTAATGTGTTCGCTTTCAAGGCTTGAACGAGCCTGGCTCGGAGGGCTTGGTAACTCACCCCAGGCTGTGGCATGCCCAAGTGTTGAGTAGGGAGGGAGGGACTCCAGGCTTCCCCATCCCTCCTGGGGCCTTGGCTGGGACTGCTCAGGGCTCTAGCCTGCTTCCTCCAGGAGAGAAGAACTGACTCAGAAGAACCTGACCTTTCCAGACGCAGACAGCCTGGGCTCAAGGACCTAGTTCAACAGCCATCGATGGCTCCCACGATCTCTGAGATGAATTCCAGTGCCCTGTCCTTGTCCCCAAAGCATCCAAGTCCTGATAGTGTACCTTCTCCCACCATGAGCTGCAGCCCAACATGGCCAGGGTGAATGCTGGCCCATCTGGGGATAATTGTAGTCACCTCAGCGCAGAGACTCTTATCTATTTGTGGAGAAAGGAACCCCCAGCTCCCTGCCTCTTGCCTGGCAGGCGCTGGCAACCCTAACTTTAGTGACTCTCAGTATCCCCATGTCACAGGCTCTGGATGCAGCCAGGACTCTCCCTGATCCAGAGTGTATCCTGGAGGCAGAGGTAGCTTCCTCTGGGCAACAAGGAGGCTGTTTTCTCATGCATCTCCCAACCAAGTCCCTTTCCCAAGTCCTTGGACAGGGTGAACCTGGCCACTTCATTTTATCTTATCTTTCCCACAACCCCAAGAATGGGTCATTTTAATTGGGCACATTTCTCAGACAGGAAAACTGAGCCTCCTAGTGGTAAACTATTTGCTCTAGACAGTGGCTGCCTCCTGGGCTCGGGCTGTTTTGGGGGATTGTCATGGCAGGAAGAAGGATGATGTGAACGGTGAAAGCACTCACAATCTGTTGGGCAGTCACCGTCCTGAGAGGACACTTGACCCAGAGACCTAGGAGCTGTCTGGGACCTGAAATAGTTCCTACACGGGTCTGCACGCCTACGCACTGGAGCCCCCAGTATTCCTGGGAAACACCAGAGATGGATGTGTAGGGTTTATAGTGTCCAGCCTTTATTTCTGGTCCTCCAGGGTCCCTGGATGGATTCTGAGTCTTGATGGTCCTCAAGGGACCAAGGAGATACAGAGCCCCCTGTCCATGATGTTTGGCTACATCAAAGCAAGCACTATTAGCTAAGGGGCCCTGGCCAATAAAGGGGAAAGCAGAGGGGAGCATGGAGGGAGACTTGGAGCAGGGAAGATAGAGGAGCACTGAGGGGTGGGTTGGGAAGGAAAATCACAACTCCTCTAGAAGCCCATGTCCTTACTACCCTTGCGGGACTAGAATGTGCCCCTCTGCCTGGAGCCAGCTATGGGTGCAAACAAAACCAGCAACAAACAAAACCATCACTACGAAGGGGAAGAGGGTTGAGGCCAGCAGAAGGAACCATAGAATGACCAGGTACTGCTCAGGATTCCGTGAGGCTGGCTGGGAACTCCCTCCGCCAGGCTGGTCCTTCCAGCGCTGCCCAGCAGTGTCCACCGTCTTCATCCTAAGTTAACCCTGCTTACCAAGGCAGCAGATTCTGAGCCCACTACCATGTGCGAGAACCAAAGCTGCAGAGCAGAGGCCGGCCCAGCCACAGGGGGATTGCCCAGTACGGTGCTCTCCTTAGGTTATTCAAACTCTAGCCCTCACTGCGCACGTGGGCTCTCCACCCAGCTGGCACAGGCTGGGCTCATAGACAACAGATTCAGCCCCTGCCTGCTACCTACCTAAAGTGTCGGACTAGAGCTGAGACTCATGTGCCTGCTGGCCTATCACACTGACCCCCAGAGAACACCACTAGGCAGAGTAGGCAGAGACAATGGGCCTGATGCCCAGATTTGAGGCAGGACAGGGCCTCCTGCCCCAGGGCAGAGCTGGGGCTAAGACTACCCCAGACCTATCAGTCAAGCTACCTGCCACTTCCTGGCATCTCCATGGGCCACACGCTATTTTTAGAATACTATAAAAGCCAGAATTGGGCTCACAATGACCCCATGTGCTACACTGGGGAGGTTGGGCTACAAAAGCTCCCTCTCAAAAGAGGAGTCAGGGATCAGGAAATCAGTTCTGGGAAGGGCCTCGAGGACTTTCCAGTAACACACCTTAAGCAAGGAGACCAAGTGAGGTCCAGAGAAGGGTAGCATACTGCCCAATATCATACTCAGGATATTGCGGACCCACGGCTCATAGACCAGTCATTGAGGTCAGAGATCAAAGGTGAGGGGTCACCCAGGGCGTAGAGTCCTCTAAAAGCCCAGATCCTAAAATCGGCTCCTTGGGTGACTGGTCCTGGGGGTCATACATGCTCCCCCAGATAGGCTAGCCTTTGTACCCACATACGTTACACACACAGGGCCTTTGTGGTATGCACATGCTTGAGCCACTGCATGTGGTGTGTGTGCATCACATGTCCATGTATTTGCACATACGCGAGCTTTTGTTTGAACTCAGCGCCTGGGAGTGCACACAAAGGAGCATGCCTGTGTGACCTGCACTCGGGACCAAGGGAGTCCCACTTGCCTTCACCTACCAACCCTGCTCCCTCCTCCTTAGAAAAGTTGTCTTCAAGTCACTAATAAAGAAGCAA